GGGGAAAGGTATACGAGGAAGTTGACTGAAGATTGAAATACTGCCGGTATCACATAAAAGCAGTTTTATTTTCTCTTTTCTTAGTTGTTTTTTTCAACTGACTATTGTGCGGCAACTAAAATTTTTATAACGTAAATGCTACAGAACACAACAACAATAACAGTAAAATCAACGACAAACAAATACCAAACAGTTGAATTAAAAAATGTTTAACTGTATAATCAAGGCAGCGACTTTGCCCAACAAGTTTTGAATAGGTATGCGTTTCCCTTAGCAGTGACTGTTGGCTCTAATTCTTTGGTTATCAGTTCGACTGATGTGGAATAAGTAAGCTTCACTAGCCAGTAGTAAAAAAGATTAACAAAATCAGAAATATTCTCTGTAGTTGAGAACATTGGTTAGTACCACTTGGTAAACAGGTAGACAGCTGCATTCCAAAAGTATCATATGATGACAGCTAAATATGACTAGGGGAAGAAACAACAGAATAATGAGGGTCAGAAGACAAATCAAAAGACGTGTTGTGGGAATGTTTTACCTTATGCCTGGTAAAGAAAAGCCTTTTTCGAAGCAAACAGAAAACAGTTAGATAAAGCTAATCAAGTGATTGTAGTCCATATTGAAAGATCTCATAATAATTGGGATTCACGACTAAAGATAATAATTACCTATAAGATTTGTTGACGTAGCTCTCAAAAATAACAATTACCATTTTACATAAGTGAGAAGGAATCATGGATATCACGTCATAACCATACATATAGTGATAAACATACTCTACGTTGTTCAAATTTCTTTACATTTGAACACAACCTAAATTATCAATATTTCAGGCAACTCACAGGTTTTTAACTGAGCAACCATTGCATTGGACTGCTTCATTAACTTTGCTTCTCAAAATCTTTGGTTGATTTGATGAATTCTCGTACGAGGAAGAACATTTTTTCATATTCCTGTAGATTGTGCCTGAAAATACAAATTTTTCGATTAGTTTTAAACGAAAAATTTTTTTACTTCTAAATGTTTTATTAAGAGAAGTCAACGTTTCAAATGCTTAAAGACTGTCCATTAGATAAACTTCAAGGCAGATTTGTAAG